ACTTGGACACTGAGCAGCAATATGACCACCCCCTTGACACCTAAAACATCGAGTAGATTGAGCCGATTTAAATGACTCGTTGTAAACTCTCTTACCTTTATCATCTGGCTTCTGCGTGGAGATACTAGATCCAGTTTAGGATTGAGACTGGAGTTGACTAAGTGGGGACTTAATAGTGGTGGCCTCATTGGTGTTATTCCCATAGTCTGTGCGTCTAGTGAAAGGAGAGCCTTGTGATCGATCTAAATCTTGGACAAGCTGATAGGCTTGCTCTAGAGTGGAGATGTCTCGCACAAAGAGTTCACGCCTAAAATCTTCCCTAAGTCCTGAGCGAAATCTAAACAAGACTATAATGTCAGATTCATTCTCGCCACACCTAACCAGAAATTCATTAAATTTTGTGATGTACTCCGATACTGGCCGATTGTCTTGCGTTAGGCGTTGCTTGTATGACACAGGTAAATATTTTTCTTGGAATTTCAATTTCATCTCATGCTAAGTTTGTATGGGCTCTTGCCTCCTAAGAGTTATCAGTTTCTCAACGTTAGACCAATATTGCCTAGCCTGACCCACTAGCTTCATTTTGGCAAATCGAATTCGTCTCTCATCTGACATTTTATACCAACCAAAATAGTGGTACATGTCTGACATCCAATCGATAAAAACCTGAGGATCCAACTGGCCTTCGAAAGTGGGTGTCTCTAGTTTAACGTACTTCAGATGCATCTCATCTGGGTCAAAGGGTGAATTGTCCCTAGATGTGCGATTTCCAAGATGGTTGGCGTGAGGGTCTATGTAGTCATGAGGTTGATGGGATAATGTCTGGTTCGAGATCCGCCATCTTCATCATGTTCATGAGGCCTATCCGTTACTCGGTCCAAACGTTCCCTCGTCTCTCTCAAATCTTGTTCAACAATGTCAAATCGCGCAGCTAAGGCTTCTATGATTTTTGTAAGACTTACAAGGTTGGGATCCATCTCGGAATTGGGATCTAGAAGAGAGTATTGTATCCTACTACGAGTGCGCATGCAACAAGTTAGTTTCTAAATACAATCTAGAGGATCTTAATAATAACGATGTAGTGATGTCCTAACTAATCTTCGCCTAAATGCAATCTATCAAAATGCAAAATCAATTCTAACACCTAACATGATGCCAGATAATAATGTGGAACGCGATTGGAAAATGAGAAATCGACAATGAGATCAATTCGCAATGTTCAATATGTTATCCTACGGTTTGTTACAAATTAGACATCAATTATTTAACTTGGGATAATTATATCGACAACAAGTCCATGTTGATAATATTGAGCAGTAAGATTGTAGCAATATAATTAACCAAACTAGATTTGGAATAGTTCTAATTAAAAATTGAGATCTAGTACCAATAAAGGTAAAACAGAATCACACACTAACAAGTTTAGTGGACAGCCAACAATTTTGATAGCATGTGAGATGAACCGATCTAAAAGTGATTGCAACAGTTTCCAGATCAATTAGAAAGACGTAGAATCGATGATATTAGAATTACCTTGATGAAGATTCGCTAACAAACCTTTGGTTGATGGTACTGCAGGCTGCGAGTTCAGGATGATTGATGTTGCTATTTGCTATTGTTACTTATTTGCTGTTGGTGTTGCTGGCGATCGTTAAGGAGGAAGATGAGCTACTCGTAGCAGAGTAATTCTTTAGCAACACGCTCTTAGAGGAAGATGAGGTTGGAATCTCGTCGAGGCCCGATCCGATCTTGGAGGAACTGATCGGCATCAGGGAGTCGATTAGGGCTTCAATGAGGCCGCGCGAGTCGTCGAGGGGGTGAGATTGTGATGTTGTCGCGACGGAGGGGAGATGGAGGTGGAGGTCGAGAACGACAACGGAGTGGGCGGCGACGACGACGGGTGGAGTCGAAGGGTCGACGAGAGAGAAGGTCGACGGGATCGGGCTGTCATCGATGTCGTTTGGATGGAGATAGGAGGGCGAGGTGGTGGGCGTTGAGGTGGTTGTTGGAGATGAGGGTGAGGGGATCAGATCTGAGAGGGGGGGTTGACTTTCCCTTTGACCTGAAATTTTCGGATCTGGCTTTTTTTTTTAAACTACAAACCAAAAAAGAAAAATAGAACAGGTGAAAGGAAGAAAGAGATGGAAAAACCTGAGATGGAGAAGAATCTGGTTGATCTACTTTTGCTCTGATACCAAAAATGATACGGGACAACGAAATTTTTCTAGGAATTTATGATGGGATTTGAGAGATTTGGGGAAGAACAGGGAATTGAGGAAAGCTAGGGTTTGGAAAGATAACAAAATTAATAATTTTAACAAGATATGACCACGGATCGTAACCCGGGTCTTGGCTTCACCACCATTGACTCAATCTTAGAGATCAAATCAATTACCTAAAGTTTCACAAATGGAAACAAAATTTTCTTCAAATAATCATTGCCTTTATTTCATAAAATTAACCTCTTTAAATAGGCCTTCAACACTACAAGTTCACTCCCATATCCGATGTGAGACTAAAATTATTGAGCAAATACAATAAAGAGGAAATAAAAGTAATACTAGCTAGACTCCAAGCCTTCTCAAGATCAAAACCACATATGAGCTGAGGCAACACGACAGCGGCGGCGAAAATATGTGCGAAGTGGAGACTGTGTGATGTCCTCATCAGGAACAGATTTTTGGGATGAAGATGGTTTGGATAAAATATAGATAATAGAGGACTTCAAACCCAATGACAAATCAAATGCCACAAGCACTTCACATGCTTAATTATTTTCATAACTATAAATTTTATTAGTAATGATTTGTCCCTCGTGGAGGATGCAAGTCTTAGTTATGGAAGAGAAAAGCTAATAAAACACATTTGAAAGTACATCAAAATCCTAATTGAATAAAAAACCTACAAAACTAAAAGATACAGTTGAATAATAAAAGATTACAAATAATAAAGTCAAAATTCTACTAAAATAAGTAAGATTCTAATAAATCTCAATTGCACCAAATTGACGGTCCACGATCATTCTACATCAAATCTTTCCTCCTTGGAAACAACTCATTCTCAATCTTTAAAGTTGGGAGAACATAATGATTTCATTGATTGGTGGAAAGTATTCTTTCACAAACTGCAGGATCTTCAGGAGTATTTGAATAACTCAATATCAAGGCGGTGACAGGAGATATAGAATGATAAAATCTATTATCGAATTATTACAAATTGGAGGTATCTCGAAGTTCACTTTAATTTTGGACTCAGGCACTGGGTTTGATTCGAGCTAAGCTTTGGATTAACCTTATGCTCTTTTTTTTTGTTCAGGCTGCAGTTCGGGCTCGGGACCTGAGTGTGTCTTCTTATTTGCTTCTTCTTCTAGCTCCAATCTAGACTCAGGCTCTAGATCGATCTTTTGATATGCATATGCTTTTGGGCTCGCGATAAGATTTGGGCTCTGGTTTAGAGGTGGAGCCAGTAAGGAAAAGGGGAGTCCTTTTCTAGCCCACAAGTTTGAGTTCGGTCCAAAATTAATTATGAGAGAGAGTTTTGGACCAACCTAGGTGGGCTTAATTTAAAGCCGAATCCATTAGGATGACAATGATACCAAAAAAGTACAATATCATTAAAAAAAGATTGTAATTGCAGTGGATATCTTGAGTCCGATCGGCATCAAAAATAGAAGAGACACGTAATGAATTTTGGGATTCTTTTCCCAATTCAATTAAACTTTGATCAATTTCTTTTAATTTTTTCCCCCAAATTGAAGAGCTTAAGTCATCATTAGGTTTTTGGAGGTTTTTCATCAATTCTAGAGACAAAAATGGTGTACTTTATAAACCACAAAGGTACAATTTTTTGCTTCTCATTCTCATGATTATTGTCTTTATTGGTTTTTTATAAATCCTAGAAGTAACTAGTTTATTTAATTATTTATTTAATTATATCAACATATTATTTTTTAACATGTTGGCAGTTAATATATTTGTGAAACATAAGAAGCTAAAAAAAGTGTATCAAATGGAGAAAGTGGTATCGGTGAGGGGACTAATTTACCTTCAATTTTATTTAGCTTTTACTTTAATTTATCTTTATACTCAAATACAAACGCTATGTTAGTGTTTTTATGTAGTGTTTATAGTATTTTTTTTAATTGGGTTTTTGTAGTTCAACCTCCCATTTTACTTCTGGTGCTGGCTCTATATTGAAATAAAGTTCCAACTGCCGGTCCAAATCTAACTGGAGTTGAGGCACTCGTGTTGCTGTTGTTTCATGCTTTGAAGAGAGACAATAATATATTCTAGTTGGTCAGAATATCATATTTTCCAACCAAAATTTTATTGGCTTCATGCTAGATAGTTAAATCATAACCAAAATACTTTGTAAGCCACTATTCGTGAGCTTTCGTGAGCTGCTTCCTTAACCTACGCTTAGCTCGCACGCGCACCCACACAGATACATACATACATACTTCTGACATCTCATAAATGGATAATATATCTTCCATAGCTGAACGAGGCACTCTTGTTGACTTTGCTTCCGGCTTTAAAGAGAAACAATACCATTTTATAGTTGGTTGCTAGAATATCTTTCTTCCAAAAGAAATTTCATTTGCTCCATGAAGGGATAGCTGAATGAGAACCTGAATAATTTCTAGACTAATATTCTTGAGCTGCTACCTTAGCCTACACTTGGTGTGTGTCTGACATCTCATAAATGGAAAGTATATATCTATATTGTCCACCCAAACTTATAAATGGAAAAATACATCTCATAAATGGAAAATCATATGTTTCTTCATTTTCATAAAATCCATGAACTTAAGATAAATACCAAAGTTGGTGGTTTGAAATCAAATATGAAGTCAAACTTTATAATCACATTAACTTGTTAGTTTTGCTTCTCAATTGAAGTAGTCTGCTTAAATTTTTTATCAATCCTAGTTCAAATTGTCATTCAAACCTCTTTTCATTGGTTTGTGAACTATATTCTCATTAATGTGCCCTTTTCAGAGCTCCTCTAGCAAATCTTATGGGTAGCAATGTTTCAGGGGATATGTCTCCAATTCTCGCGGTGTGTTCCTTAACCTTAACCTACGCATTCTTGTTGTACAGCATCTGCACATCCTTATTGGGATGGTTAATTGACATATAATTCAATTTGCAGTTGATGGTGCCAAACACTTTCAATTCCAAGATTACAAGGAAGCCTCATGCATACATTCACAGGGATGGCTCTATGACACGACACCTAACCAAGAATGTAAATAATGGAGTGGAAAATACTTTCAAATACTTCTACAGGCGCAGGATGGCGAGCAACAACTAGCCATTTTCCACCTAGAGTAGTTACCTTTTGTCATTTCAGATTATATAATTTCTACTTAGAAAGTTTTTTTTAAACGACTTGTTTCTGGTGCAGGATGATACTAGCAAGTTGCACAGGAAGTTTTTTGCCCGATACCTAATTACAGTGAAGTAGGAGCTGCACATATAATGCCGTACAACGCTAGATATTGTGATGTAATACTTAACGTTTGCATTGCGATTCTTATCGTCCAATTTGGTTCTAATCACTGTTTATGGATCCAGTTATTGCATGCTCATCGCTCACAGGAGTACGACTTGTACTAGCTTCCCCCTTTTGTTACCATTTTTCCCAATGTTTCGAGCCTTCGCTAATAGTAGTAAGTAAACTCACTCTAAATGTGTCGATATCTTACTCTTTGATGAAACTTTATGTGAACAGGTTATTTCTCTTTAGAGTTTCTGGTTATGTATGTGAAATGTGGATATTTCATCCTTTTTCTATTAACGGGTAGATGTAAATTTTATCCTAATCACTACTCATGACTAGGACTGGATGAAACATCTAACAAGTGATTGTGAATTCCAAATTACCTAAGGCTGACTAATTAAAAATGAGATGACCAATAAAATTAAATTTTATCAAAAGAACTTCAGAACGAACAAACGTTACTTCATTAGTTTTTGTTTAGTTAATTGCTTAATTGATTGGATATTCATAAGGGGAAAGCCGAAAGGATAGAATACACAGGCAGGGTATTCTATTAAATACATCTGATATACATGTATATCTGGCAAATAGATTTCCATTTTGTAGCAAAAAAAGAAAAAGAAAATAGGTACGACATGTGAAGGTAATAATCCTGTAACTATATTGTATCTATGCACGCAAACCTTCACTAAATATAGAATAACAGCATACTAAACATCCCCAAAATTATAACAAAGTGCATATATTAAGTGGCCATCAAACTTCGGTTGCATGATAATATTCCCATGAAGAAGAGAGAACAGAGAAGATACATTCACCAGCCAGTTATTCTAGTGTTTTTGCTCCTTAAAAATACAACACAGTACCAACTAACACCTAGTAATTTCAGCACATATTTACTTAGTACAAATACGTACATAACACGGCCATTAGCTCATGATGATGAGAGCTGGATCAGCTACTTCTACCATGTTCCTCAGCATCTTGTTCTTGGCCACGAGAGAAGCCGGAGCTTGGGCCTCGTAGGCTGACACGTGCACTCCGAGCGCAGCCCTGCCTGAGGGGTCGAGGTTTTTCGACCACTGTGCGTCCCACTCGATGGCCTTAGCGGTGCTGCAGGCAATGCTCGGCCCTCCAGGGACCGTCAGCCTTGCAGAGTTCTGTGACAATGAGTAAGATCAAGAACAAGCTGGTCAGTATCAGAACAGGGTAGCTCAAGCATTTGCGTTAAAATGATCATCTTTTAGGAAATGGATTTCTTTCTGTTGATTCCAGGCAGAGATTATGGAATAATGGAAAAATGATAGAGCCTGAAATCAATAGAAATAGATTGAATTCAATTCCATTTTTCTGAAAAATCATTAAAAAATGGCAATGGAGTAATCAGAGCAAAGAATTAGAATTTAAGCAAAGATTTGAAACTCAGAATGAACTGATCACCTGTGGGAAAAACCTTTCAAATATCATGCGATAGTAATAACCCTCCTTTGTGGTGGGTGTGTTGTGTGGGTAAATGTGTTGCGCATTCAGCATCATTTTATGGGTAACCTGCAATAGTTTTTTTTGTTTTTTGTTTTTTTTTTGGGTGGGTTGGGGGGGGGGGGGGGGAAATAAGTGAAAATACAGATAAAAAATAGACTAGTAATTGTATTACATGAGCTTCTGCATGAGTCTTCAATCCATCTATCCAACTGTAGCCAACACCATCACTGAACTGCTCCTTCTGCCTATAGAGAATATGCTGCGTTGACAAATTTCCATTTCTTAGTACTAAGAACAAAAATATCGATATATATTTTCCGACTGTATTTTTACCTTTGGCAAATAGGGGTTTTTCTCATCGTCAAAAGCTTTCCTCAGTATCCATTTCTCAATCCTCCCTTCATCGGGCTTGATCTGATATATTCTTAAAATTGTAAGAATGTTAAGTGCAACATAGAGAATGATTGCAATTTCTCTATTTAAGCTTACCATTTTCCATTCAGGATCGATGCTCATAGCAATGTTAATGAACTCCTTGTCCAGGAATGGAACGCGAGCCTCCAGCCCCCAAGCTGAGGTTGCTTTATTGGCTCTCAAGCAATCGTACTGATGGAGAGCTTTTATCTGATATATATATATATATAGAGAGAGAGAACAGTCATAAGCAACAATCTGATATATTTATGTTGAGTATCGCTTTTCAATTTTATTACCTTTCGACATGTTTCCCTATGAAATTCTTCCTTGTTCGGCGCCTTATGGAAGTACAAATACCCTCCTAAAATCTCATCAGAGCCTTCACCAGAGAGCACCATTTTGACTCCTAACGATTTGATCTTACGGGACATGAGGAACATCGGAGTACTTGCTCTTATTGAGGTAACATCATAAGTTTCGATGTGGTAGATAACATCCTCAATTGCATCAATACCATCCTATTTTCACAAAAATAGTTACCAATATAGCATTTGACATAAACATGAATTCAATGCTTTCATTTGCTCGGGATAAACTTCTTTAGCTTCATGGCAAGTTCAAAATCGCTCTGGGGCTTGTGAACTTCTTATGATCTCGTAGGATTGTAAGTTCTACATTCTTATTATAGGATGTAAACAGATTACCTGAACTGTGAAATGAAACTCATGATGAACGGTGCCTAGATAATTAGCGACCTCCCTCGCAGCTTTCAAATCAGGTGAGCCCTGCAAACAGAAATACCTTACATTTCTGCAAAATTCACGATACTTAAACAAACTAAACTCTAGAAATTTCCTTACTTCCAGGCCAACACAAAAGGAGTGAAGCTGAGTCCCCCATTGCTTTGCAGCTTTTGTTCCTGCCAGATGACGAGCAGTTACAGAAGCAACCAGAGAAGAATCAAGGCCACCCGATAGCAAAACGCCAAAGGGTACATCAGTCATGAGCCTCTTAACAACAGCCTGTATCGGAGGAACAAAATTATCAGATAAGCTCTATATCACATCTCTAAATACTTGAGATTCGTCGCATATGTATTTATCTTACATCTTCGAATGCTTTTCTTAGAACAAGAGGGTCATAAGGAACCGAAGGAATTAACTCCGAGTACCAAACTGGATTATACCATCTTTTTAATTCGCCTGTTTTGCTTGAATACAGATGACCAGGAGGGAAACACTCAAAATGTTCACAGTCATCGTTAAGTCCCTTCATTTCGGAGGATATCCAGACCGATCCTGAGCACAAAAAATAATCAAGTAGGGGAAAAAACAAGGAATTTTTTTGGATATGAGTTGCTTATAGACTTCAATTATTATGATTAATTACCATCAAGTCCCCAGCCGATATAGAGGGGTGTGATACCAATCGCATCTCGAGCAACAAGGAAGCTATTATCGCGAGTATCCAACAACACAAATGAGAATAGGCCATCCAACATATTCACAAAATTTTCTTCATGTTCCTCATACTGAAAAGGCAAAAAGAAAAATTGGAAATTTTGTAGTTACCTAAAACCTGAGTGTTAAACCTACTGTCATTAAATTTGGAGTAAATAACTAAATATAAATAGATAAATGAAGTTTTTACCAGATGTGCTATAACTTCACAATCACTGCCAGTCCTGAATTTGTGAGTCGACAATTGCTTCCTTAGCATCTCATGGTTATAAATCTCTCCATTAACCTGTTTTCAGATGAATTCAGATTGAAACGAGCAGGTAGAATATTGTCTTCGTAAAATAAGAAATAGAATATGAAAAATAAATAAATACTCTGCTAACCTTGGGTATGTATCTATTTTTCATCTCTCAATGATCATAATATTGTCACAGTTTTGTTATTTTATAGTAGCTACATAAATTTAGTCGGGTCAAATTTTAAGAGCTCATATAATATACACAAGGCTACTTGACACCTATTTGATTAGTTTTAGCTAGAGAATCATATCCCAAAAAAAAAAAACATAATACTCACGCACGCACGCACGTACATTAGCCATTATTGTTTAGACCATGCTGTACTAAAATCAAGCATTTGACAATAGGAAACATAAATGGATCTCATCCTTATAAGTTTTAACAAAAATCCGAATTTATTTTTACCGTGACAACGATGGTCTTGTCTTCATTGTAAAGAGGCTGATCACCAGAAGCAGGATCGATAATTGCTAGCCGCTGGTGAGTTAGAAAAGAGTCTCCATATTGATGCAAACCTCCCCAGTCTGGACCGCGATGCTTCAACCTGAAAGCAATATCCAAAAGATTTTAGCTTCTTTTAATTATGGTTTCTTTGGTAAAATTTAGAAAACTACCTCGAATTTTGCGGGTTTAGACCCTTTTGGAGGGGGGGAAGGGGGTCATACAATTATTTTATAAATATTTGTATTATCATGAACTTAAATTAGTCAGGTGAAAAAATCTTGTTACTTGAATTAGATAGTTATCAAATGTTTCTTCCTTGCAGCACAACAATGACAGGATTCTTTTTTCTGAATTAGATAATAATGAATGTATAATTAAAAGCTGGCTAATTATATTCTCTTATGGACAAAATTTCAAAACCAACCTCTTTCCACATTTAATCCCAAAAAAATCCCTTTCAACAATATTTTCAAAAACCGACCTGGTTTCAGCCTGAAACCAGGTCGGTTTTTGAAAAAAAAAAACTTCCGAAACTTCACGGGAGTTGAACTCCCGTGAAGTTTAGTAGCTTTGCTAAACTTCAGGGGAGTTCAACTCCCGTGAAGTTTCGGACTCCTTTTCACAAAAACCGACCAAGGGTAAAACCAGGTCGGTTTTTGCAAATAACTTCAAAATGGATCTTTTTTTAGGATTAAATGTGGAAAGAGGTTGGTTTTGAAAATTTGTCCATTCTCTTATTCTAAGAAGGGGTGGATATGAAACCCAAAAGATCACCATTAGGTAGAAATATTAATTTTCTAATAAAGTATTTCTCTCAAAATCTTCAATAGAATACTAATTGGTCTACTATCATCATATAATAAAAGGATAATTGGCCTTAATTACCAAAGAAAACTTCTATACCAAACTAAAAGGAAAGGTATAGCGACCAAATTAAAAAATAAAATCCAAGCACAATAATTTATGCACAAGTTTTTTATTGTGTTAAATAAATAACACTGTTTTCCTGCAAAAGAAGCCATTGATGAAAGGTTTGTTGTATTTAATAAAACGAAAATAATTTCTTTCTTGAATTCGATAGGCATCTCTATAAACAAAAAATTCCCTGAGATATAAATCCGAAACTGATTTTTTCAAGACTATCTAGTCCACTATTAATATGATATTAGTAGTCTAGTGCATGTGATACGTGCATGACACACAATATAATGAATGAATTGTAATGGTAAAATTGATACTTGTTTTTTTTTTTTTTTTGATTTTAAAGTTTGGGGGCATTTTCATCGATTTCTGTGCATGCGTGAGGCCGGCACTTCTTATTTTGTTCAAATGTGAGGGAATTACTTTTTATAAATACGAATGCATTTTTCGGAATTATGAAAATAAAACTCGCAGGACCAAAAGTCTGCCTTCTTCTAAATAACAATTTAATAAAAAAAACTTTGGTCTAATCAAATTAAGAAAACTTCAAACAAGAAAAATAAAGGAAATGAAAAAGAAAAAAGTATTCTGCAGCCTGTACATGAGCATTAATTCAGCATCCAAAAATAGAAATCTTAGACAATAAGATTCGATCATCTCGCATCCTACTAAACCAAATAATCTTTATATAAAAAAAAAGATTGATCAAGAAATGCATAGTATAGAAATGAATTAGCTTCGAGCTAGGAATAAATCTTCAAGAAATGCGTAGTATATAAATGCAAGGTATATATGGATCAAATTAAAGTTGAACGGGTTTGCCTGCGAGAGAGCTCCAGGACCCGAACTCGCTTCGCCTGAGAGTCGTCGGAGCACCCGAGCACGGCCAAAATCCCACACATGATCGTTAAAATATCAAGGAATATATGAACCTTCAAAAATGAAATAACTAATCAAAAGCGGTCTCTCAAAAATTAATGGAGGGGAAAGGAAAAAAAAGAAAAGGAAAAAAAAAAGATGAAAAATGCCACGAACCTAATGGTAGAAGTAAGAGAGGGAGAGGGAGAGAAACTACAAATGAGGAAATGTTAACAAGTGTAATGCGTTGTTTGAGTTCGGTCTTGGCGCCCTCTATTTATAGACAAGTCAACTTGAGCATGCCCAATTCTCTCTCTCTCTCTCTCTCTCTCTCTCTCTCTCTCTCTCTAAAAATGAGGGAGAATTATAGTTATACCCCTAGTTTGACATTGATGTTTGACTAGACCTCTTGCATTCGGTTCCTTCTTAGTTTGAGAAAAAAATTATGGGTTTATCCAGAGTTCCAGCTCATGCATATGTGGAGACATGAGGAAATTAACTGAGGTGATTAACTGAGGTGATTAACTGAGTAATTAAGGGGAGTTTGGCAAACCGAAAGTGAATTAAAAATGTGAAAATTGTGCCATATGACGGTAACTTACTTTACGAAAATAAATTACCGTTGACAGTATTATTTAATTATTTAAACTTATATTATATTTTCGAAGGGTGCTAATAAGTATAATGCTTTAATTAATAACAATTTTTTTTTTCTATTTTCATGATAATATGAGAACGTTCGTTGCATTGAGAGGGTTATATATATCTGCACTGAAATTGACGCGGAACTCTTTGAATTTCACTGCCACATGTACTTTTCAATAAAAATGAATTTATGAAGCGATAAAAGTGTCACTTTACTTTCATTTGTTATTTTCATGCAAACAAATATCCCATAATTTGATTTTTTTTTTTTTTATAGATTTGTATGGCCTATATATTATTCATTTTTAGTTATCTCTTCTACTTGTTAAGCGAGTTGGTTTTCAGGTTAGATCTCCAACAAAAATTTGTTACATATTGTAGGTTTGTTTGGAAAAGTTGGGTACGGATTTGCAAGGCCAAAAATCTAATTTTGGACAAGTCGTATCAAGGTTAATTAGGCACTTGCAAAGCGTCCATATATTTGTGGTTGGTGAAAAAATAAAGGGATTTTTTGTTATTTATGTACCCAAAGTTTTAATGTCATTTATCAAAAAATCCACCTAGATCTACATGTTTTAGTAAATCCAATATACAAAGTTTAATTACCTTTCAATGCAAACTATATACTACAAAGTGTACAGCTATATATAGTAGGATATGTAGCTATACATCCTTAACTATATATGTAAGTTATACGTTATACATTCTTTAATATGTAGCCGTACACCCTAATGTATGTACGTAGCTATATACCCTATTGCTTGCAGCTACACTTCGTATCTTAGATTTTGGGTTTAGAGGTAACAAAAACTTTGTATATTGGGATTATTGGAACAGCCTTTAAATTGAACATTTTGATTGACATTGTAGTTAAAGATGAAAGTCAAATAAGTGGATTCATTAATTTTAAGTATTGATATAAAATATAAGATTTCTTTCTCTATCTAAACACGGCGACAAGTAATGGCATATCGTCGACGAAAGAAACTTATAATAGATTGAACTTTTTGATTAACAGTTTTGATTAACATTAATTGTAGTTAAAGGTGAAAGTCAAGTAAGTGCATTGATTATTAATTTTAAGCCTTAATATAAAATATAGGATTACTCTCTCTATCTCTCTCTAAACACGGCGACAGATAATAGCATCGTCGGACGAAAGCAACATAAATTGACAAGAACTTTACTATTTATTATTAATTTATTGGAGTCTCGGTGTTTGAAAACTTTGCAATTTGATGTTTTTATCCGTTTTTTATGATTCGGGATGCTGATTCAGATGGGGCCCACATGAGCGGGGCCAACTAGCAGTAATTTGTTTGGAATAAAACCTACTATAAACTTGATCCAAAAAAAAACCTACTATTAACGACACTCCATAGAATTGACATAAATTTTAGCATTACTAATTGTGATGTTATATTTTTCTGGTTGCAATGATATAATATTCTATTTATATATAGAATTGTTTTTACACTTATATTATACACTAAACTATACTGATTTAGGAGCAGCCCAGTAGGTCACATGGCAAAACTGTGTCATTCCCTCGTGAGAGGCCTGGATTCAATTCTCGCGTGTGTCAAAAGTTGTATAGTTTTAGGATTGATAAGTTAACATTTTCATTCACTAAGGAGTTTCTCACTAGTCAGTAGTCAATAGAATCTCTTAAAAGCTGTTCCGTTTGTGGATTAATCTTGATTAAAATGATGTTTATCTTGTGGATCTCATTTTTCTAATGCAATGATGCAAAATTTATGGAAACAAATAGCTAGCCCCCTAATTTTGCATAATTTTTATCTTAATTATAATCTTAATCAAAGACTATCACTTGTTATTAAATATGAAACATGAAACACGACCCTCT